GGGAAGGACTACGCTCTCACAGAATACCAGCGTAAAATAGCAGCTTAATGCTGCTGTGTTTCCTATGGTGAGTGTAGAGACTGGAGACCCTTTTTACTGGAAACGAAGCATTCGATTTTATGCCTCGCGGTTGAGAAAGCATCTGAATTTTGATTCGTAATCGAGGATAGATGTAGATGTCTATAGACCACTGCAACCACTTACCATCAGGTGCACTGTGTGCTCGTTTGTCACCCTATCCTATAAAATAACGCCATGGATTTTTTAAGATCGTAGGGTGTCCTTTTGCCTGTAGGATTTCATACTTATAGTTTTTAGGTTACATTTCTTATCCGACGCAATATGTTCGCCAATTGTGAACCTATTTATTCAAATGGTAGTAACGCATGTGTATTTTGATTCTTAGTCGATAGATTGAGATGTCTTGGATCACAACATCCACTCACCACACCGTGGATTGTGTACCGTTTGTCACACAAATTACACACTAAGAAATCCAACTCAGGGTGGATTCTTGTTATCCATTCGTTATATACTTGTTTATCCACCCTAGTTGAGGTGGATTATCGGAATTCACTTTATGATAGTTGTTTTTCCACCCTAAATACAGTTTAACAGAAAATATATTCATACTTTAAAATATTATTGATAAATTTTTAATAGCCACACACTTAAACGAAATCATATTACGTATTTCATTTAAACCAAATTAAACTTTCTTGTTTTAAATAATATTAAGTAATTAATAAATTCTACAATATGTCCAGGAAATGACCAACACTGATTTCATTATTGAGTAGACGTAATTATTGTATATCATGTATAAATTCATCTCTCAATAAAAGACATTTTAAACTGTCAAGTACCGTACTAATTCCGATACTGTGTTTATGTAATTAACAATATTATATTTATTAACTTTAGATACTAACGATACTACTACTACTACTACTACGATACTACTTCAATAAAATATAATTGAAATTCATTGCAGTAAACATCGATAGTAGTATAATAAGTCTTTTTTTAAATATTAGTAATTTTATTAATTAACATTACTAATATTCCTTTTAACCACTCCTGGTAAGCTTGAAACGCTTGTGTTAGGAGTGGTTCACGACAGTAGTCAAATGGCGGATTCGAACACACGATCTTTTGTGTTCGCAATCCGCGCCCTGTCATTAGACTACTGTCGCTTCGCACTGTCTATCGCAGTTAAATATTTCTTTCATAATACAATTAAAAATATTTCAGTTTTGACCCTTAAGCAAGAATTTTTGAGCGTCCCGTCCCCTTGATGTGTAAAATAATCCACTTCTTAAGGTGGAAAAGAAGGGCTGCAATTTTTAATGGTTTGCTTTATTGAACTCAAGTAACAAACTAATTAACATATAACACATAACACCTGATGGAAAGTGGTTTACTGATTACAGAAAGAGGGCTACAGATGTGTTGTCGCCTCTGAGGACTATGATGGAGCACCTAAACCTGTGGTTACATTGGCTCTGTGTACCCTGCAGACCTGAACACAGCACGAACAGTTATTTGCTGGCAGAAATAAATTTGTACACCTGTTACGTAACGGATAGGACGACATTTAAGTTGATAGCTTACATTTTTTTATAACATTGGGTGACAAACGAGCACACAGTCTACATGATAGTAAGTGAATGCTGTGGTCCATAGACATCCACATTTATCTTTAATTAAGAATCAAAATGCAAATGCATTGTCAGCCCTTAAGACTAAGATGGAATAATAAATAATAATAATGAGGCTGAGTAGCATGCGTGTCGGGTGTCGGATTGATGGCGTCAGTGTAAACAGCATAAGCTACGCAGACGATATGGTGCTGCTTAGCCCCACGGTCGGTGGTCTGAGGGAGATGCTGAATGTCTGTGAGACGTATGCTGCTAGGCACGGGCTTACATACAATGTAAAAAAGACGGAATACATGATCTTTGAGGCTGCTGGTAAATGTCCCAATAATTCAACAAATATTACCCTTAATGGCGTGAACATCAAACGTGTGACTGAGTTTAAATATCTGGGGCATGTCATTACTAGCAGCCTCAAAGACGATGATGATATTGAAAGGGAGCGAAGGGCTCTGGCGGTTAGAGGTAACATGAGGACTCGCAGATTTTCTCGCTGTACAGAAGAGGTTAAAGTGACGCTATTTAAGGCATACTGCCAAAGCATGTACACGGGAAATCTGTGGGTCAAGCATACCAAGAAATCGCTAGACACTCTTCGAATCCAGTACAACAATGTCTTCAGGATGATGTTGGGCCTGCCGCGGTTTTGCAGTGCATCGGGAATGTTTGCGGAATACCAAACTGATGGCTTCGATGCCATCATTCGTAAAAAAACGAGCTCCCTGATTAGCACAGTGATAAACAGTTTCAATAGCATCCTGAAGATATTAGCAAACCGATTTACATCTCCAATTTGGAAGTGCTTTTGTGCAAAGAGTGACGATCACGGGAACATACCCTTTCCCCCTGATGGTCACTTATGGTAACAAATATAATTGTAGATAATTAATTTATTATTATTATTTTAATGAGTATAATTTTTAATCCCAATTAATAAAATACTAACATATTTTGTAAGCCATTTTTACTAACACAATATGGATGTACAAGTTGTCCGAAATAAATGTATTATTATATTATTATTAATATTCAGAAAATTGAGGAATTCTGCTGACTTTGAAACATTGATGAAACTATGCTCTTGCTCAAAGTTTACTACAATACTGTATTGTAATATGGGGTGGAATTGGAAAAACAACTTTACTCCCCTTAGAACGTGCTCAAAGAGCAATCTTAAAGGTAATGCTAAGTAAATCACAACGATTTAGCACCGAACTTAATTTTAAGGAATGCTCTGTACTTACTGTAAGACAGCTTTTTGTCATGTCTGTTATACTACGTAAGCACAAAAATACAGAGTTTAAACCTAATTTAAAACGTAATAAAAATAGAATTTGTGACATGGTTTCTCATAGAACTGCTTTAGCACGTCGTTAATATTATGTCACTAGCAATTATTTATATAATGTAGCAAATAAAGTAAACAATATTTACCCTTTTGTCCCTTTTATAAATGTAAAGATAAAATCCTAAATTGGTTGCTAAGCCTTAATTACCTGGAAACAGAGAAGTTACACACACATTCACACAAAAACACACACTATTACATGTACATGCACACACACACACACACACACACACACACACACACACACACACACACACACACACACACACACACACACACACACAAACACACTGGTTTGTGGTAATTAGGAAGTTTTATCTTCATATTTTTTTTATTTATTATTTAACTTAACATGGTTGTGTATTATATAGCTAAATAATCTGTCATTTTTTACTGTATTTGTATTGTACTACTCAGGGTGGAAGACGCTGACGGCTGTTTGTGGCTGACACAGTTTATACTAGTATGGCCGTTAACGCAAACTAATTTGAAATATAATTTTGTAATTTTAAATAGATATAATACATAAGTGTAACCTGTTAATTGAGAGTCAAATAAATTATTATTATTGTTATTATTATTAAGTTCGAACCGTTATAAATAACAAAGACAAAGCTATAATTTACCTTTCTATTTTGTTGGTGCTTTTTCGAAAGAGCATGTGTTTTTAAATCTCCGTAGTGACTTCTTAATATCGTTCCACAAAACTTGCATTTTACTACTTGGCCAGTGGTACTTTCAACTGCTTGAAGCCATTCTTTTAAATCGGGATCTTGAAGCCAAGAATCCCTAAATTTTTGGGAATATTGAGGTTTCGGCATAGCGTCGTATGAATAATATTTTCATTTAAAAATGTGTAATCGCAAAACGAAACAAAAACAAACAACAACGCACTGAATCCGAGTGACTCTCTAGTATATAGTCAGTAATCTATGCGAGTAACCGTGCGTGACCGAGTTCAAAAACATTGGACTAAGTGTTGTAAAATGCTGTCAAAGTGTCAAATAGAATAGAAAGCAGAAATTATATCCCTCTCAACTATTTAGTATTCCGGAGAGCGAGATACAGATAGATCTCGCCCTTGCATTCCCCTCGTTTTTTATTAGTCGCCTTATACTAAATATATTTAACGGGGAACTCCCGTGAATGCTTTCCAATCCAATGTCTATGGAAATGAATTGGTGTTGCCTGCGTAGTAAAATATACTCCTAAAAATATATAGGTGTATATTTTGAAAACTATAAAATAAGGCTAGACAGACGTTTGAAACGACTATTTATATGAAAGGACTTGTTTCTTATAATTTATGATAAAATTCCTAATCGGCTAAAAAAACCACTAGCCACTAAAAGCAAAAATTTGCCACTAAAAGGGGATTCCAAACCACCAGATTTAGTGGAAAATCTACTAAGGTGGCAACACTGTTGAGGTTGGTACCATAATTAAACTAGGGGTCTCGGAAGTTTAACTTTAGTACCATAGATAGTCCTTGAACCAGAGATAATCTTCGTTTTGGAATAACGTTTATTTAGTTATGGTAATGTTTATGGTATGTTTTATGGTACGTTTTATTTAGTTATGGTGCAGTATTCAGTATAACTTTTACCGCCTTATTCCAAAACACGGACTAAATATGGTTCTGAAGTTAGTATTAGGTTTAAACCATAACTAAATAAAACGTTATTCCAAAACGAAGATTATCTCTGGTTCTAGGACTATCTATGGTACTAAAGTTAAACTTCCGAGACCCCTAGTTTAGGGATGGGCAAATGGAAAAAATATATCTACTTTACATAGATACTTTTCAAATGTATCGATATATATTTTTTTTAAATATCGATATTCCGATATATCGATATTTTTTGCTCAAGGGAAGGTTACCTATATAGTTTGCAATCTCAAAAATTAGATAATAAAAATGAAAATACATATCTGATATATTTATTGTTTTGTTTATTCATAAATCGCAAATTTATATTGTTTAAAATTAACCATCACTGATACCAGTATTCGTCTGAAATAGACATCAGCAGCACTCTTTCTTTAATGTTACACTCACCTGTCAATCTGCTCCTATTATCCGGCACTGTTAAATTAACAATCGAAGCAACCCTTTCGGATGATACCGAGGAAGCTTGACATATTAAATATTTAAGAGCGATATCCGAAAGAACCGGCGTGAAATGTCGGCAATTTACCCAAAACTTTATTGGATCTGACTTCCTCTCAAGAAGTGGTTGGTCCAGATATTGCTTAAGTTCATTGGGGACAGATCCTAAGCTTGGGACCTCTTGCGTAGCTGTTCTCAGATTTAAAAGCTGCTCATGCCTGCACCTGATTGATGACTCATTTGCTTCTTCTGATGTTGCTCGGTCAGACCTTATATCTGGAGAACGTTGTCCTCTACGCCTATACTCTGAGCGAATATCGTCGCTTATTTTTGATATAGCATTTGATACGGCAATTGGAGAATTAAAGTGGATACGCTTGAAACGAGGGTCCAAAATTGTAGCTACTGAGAGAAAAGTATTTCGTTCTAGAGGAACTAGTTTCTCTTCAATTTTTTTGAGTAAAGCCTGTTTTACATTTATTCCTACAGTGGTCGACGGAGTTGATTGATCGGTTACTTGGTAAACTAAATTTAATAGAGGAATGGCTAAGCTTGCCGTCACATAATTGGCACCACTTATTTCTTCAGTAGCTTCTTTCAAAGGGCCAAGAAGAACAATAAGGTTTATTAAGTTGCGAAGTTGTAACCATATCTGGGGTATTTTTGTTTGTTTGGCTTTTGGTAGCTAAAATTTTAGCTACCAAAAGCCGACAGTGCAGACAGTGTAACGAATCTCTCTAACATATCAAAGCAAGAATTCCATCTAGTGTTAACAGCTTGTATCAATGTCAACACCTCGCTTTCTTTTTATCCAGTTGATTCTTGTTCAGCTCTCAATTGGTCCATAGCATTAACTGACTGCTTAAAAAACGTCATAATGGCTTGACGTGATCGCAAAGTACTGAAAATGCGTTAATTTCTCTGAGTACCCCATCAACTACAAGGTTTAAGCAGTGAGCCATGCAAGGAATCCTGGGATCATCACCTAAAAATAATCGTACCGCTGACACTATATTTGCTCCACCATCAGTAGTAATAGACACGATTTTAGTTTTGTCAATCTTGAACTTTTCACATATTTCCTTCCAACATTCTTGGATGTACTCTCCCGTGTGACCCTGAAGAATAAGTATATTATAATAAGCTGTATAAATAGTAATAATGAAATCTAAAAATATGAGACCAGGTATATTATTGTAAAATGTACTTCAAATGTACCTCCGAAAGTTGCTGCGCACATAGGTTCAAGCTCTGAAGGGTAGGGGAACCATTTATGGTGTCAATAAAGTGAACTGTCAATACTAAAAAACTCCTCGTTGAATTGATGATTGTAAGTATGTCACTTGTGAAACATATGAAAATTGTTTCATTTAAGATTTTAGCCAATTTAACAGTTGTGATGTTAAGAGAGCCATAATTTCCATCCATTCAAATTCGATTGGTAGTGACTGCATTAGTCGGAAAATGGTCATCTCTCTCATTGATCTCCTTTTACCTATAATCACGTCTATCCTGAATAAATCACTGAATTCTGCTTTTTTCCCTTCAGCTTGGAAAGACGCATTTGTAGTTCCTCTTCCGAAAAAGTCAAATCCCTCTAGTTTTTCCGATTATAGACCTATCTCTATTTTGCCTTTCTTTTCCAAAGTTCTAGAACGTCTTGTGCACAATCAATTAAGCACCTATCTTTTAAAACACAATCTTTTAAATCCCTTGCAATCCGGTTTCCGTCCTGGCCATAGTACGACTACTGCACTTTTACAAATCACTGATGATATTCGGTATGGTATGGAGAAACAAAAGCTTACTATTCTCACGTTGCTTGATTTTAGTAACGCATTTAATACTGTAGATTTTGATATCTTGTTAAGCATCCTACGCTCTCTCAACATATCTCCATCTGTAGTTGACTGGTTTCGAAGTTACTTGTTTGGTCGCCGACAGCGAATTCAGGTGCAAGAGGTCTTTTCCACCTGGATTACTACAGCTGCTGGTGTACCACAAAGTGGCGTGTTGTCTCCTCTCCTTTTTGCAATTTTCATTAACTCTATAAGTCATAATTTGTCCTCTTCCTACCACTTGTATGTTGATGATCTCCAAATCTATACTCAGTCCTCTCTTGAAGATCTATCTAAAGCAGTTGACACTATTAACGCTGATCTGACTTGTATTTCGAATTGGAGTAAATGTTATGGTTTAACGATTAATCCTAAGAAAACTCAGGTCATTGTCATCGGTAGTTCTAGATTAATTGGTAAAATTGACTGGTCTTCCCTACCCCCTATTATACTAGACTGCACTCTAATCCCTTACAGTAACAAGGTTAAAAACCTGGGGTTGTATCTTGACTCCTGTATGTCTTGGACCTCACAGGTTAATGAGGTCAGTAGAAAAATGTTTGCTGCGTTAAGCTCTTTACGTAGATTACGTAATTTCCTTCCCACAGCAACTAAAGTTACGCTCGCCCAGTCTCTTCTTCTGCCTATCCTTGACTATGCTGATATTGACATTACCGAGGAGCAGCTTAATAAGCTTGAGCGCATTCAAACTTTATGCATTAGATTTATATTTGGGCTTCGTAAATATGATCATATCTCCAAATTTCGTAAACAGCTCAAATGGCTCCCGATCCGCCTTCGCAGGAATACTCACATTCTCTCCGCGTTGTATAGTGTGCTGTTTAATCCTTCTACTCCTCTTTATTTAAAAAACCGTTTCCAGTATCTTTCTCTTACCCATAATCGGTTCCTTCGATCCTCCATCAATTTTTCTCTCTCTACACCTTTGCACTCTTCTTCCTTTTTCAAGAAATCCTTCACCGTAACCGCTGTGCGATTGTGGAACTCCTTACTTCTTCATATTCGTCGTGCTAAATCTCTTCACTCTTTCGAAATTCTTGTTAAATCGTATTATTTAGAACGCTATTAGATAAATTACTTTACCTTTCTCTTACTCTTTTCATTTAATCTATTATATGATATTTTATATATAACTTTCACTTACTTTTATTTGTATGTATTATTGTATTTTTTATTATTAATTTGTATGCCCCCCTCTATTTGTAACTTTTGTTTGCATCATTCCTCTACGCAAAGGTTGTCTGGAAGAAATCACTTTCAGTGATAAGACCGCCTATTGTACATACTTTAATTAGTTTTAACTATATTGATGTTTCTGTATTGTGGTGTACAAAAAAGAATAAATAAATAAATAAATACCTTTTTTCTGGACGACAATTTATAGAGAGGGCAAATTGTGCGAACAAATTTTTGCAGGCCCTTTTTTTCTACACTTGATAGTGGCAAATTGTCCTTGCATATCATATAGATTAATGCCTGTGTCACTTCACTATGTTTTTGTCCACCTTCTGAAAAATAAAAATTATCGTAAGTACATATTGCAATTAACTTTTACTCGAAAAGTCAAAAATCAGAAATACAGGTTTAAATATTTGATGTCTAAAATAAACTTAGTTTTCGTGAATTCATAAACACCAATATTCAAACAAACAAAATCAAGTACCGGATTTCTATACCCAACCCCTAACTTACCTTCAAAACTTGAACTTCTCTCTAAGCAGTTTACTAAAGTGGGTTGTATTACTTGCTTTCTCTTTTTTACGGCTTGATTCAAAAATTGAATCTCGGAAGAATCTTCTTGTATTTGTTGATTACTTGTACTTAGTATATTAACCTAGCAAAACAAAACAAGTTCATAACCTATTCAAGTCACGCGGTGGAATACTTACAGTAATTTTAATGATTCTTTAAGACTTACATCGGGTACATCGCCACTGGTGTCTTCGCCTGTCGACGCATTTTCATTTTCATTATTAGATTTTTTTGGTTCAGAAGAATTTTTCTGCTGCATGTTGACGAACTGCAAGTATGCATAGTGATGCTTGGTTTTCAAGTGTGCAGCTAAATTTGTCGTGTTTCCACACGTTTTATACATTTTCCGCACAAATTGCATGAAACAGGTTTGTTGTTTCCTTTTTTTGTAAAGAATTTCCAAACAGAAGACATGACAATAAAAACCAATCACCACAAATACTAACTAACATAACAATAGCACGTAACACTAACCAAACTAGTTACTAGTAGGTACCTACTCACCATAGATTACTGCGTATATACTACTATATATGCAGTATATAGTACTATACATATATAAACGACTACTCACTCTACCAACTAGATGACAGATGACTGTCAGTCAGTGTCCTGTTGTTGCCATAGTTGGCTCCACTGCGCAGACCACAAACAAGCGGGTCATAGACTATAGATAATATTTATTTTTGTGTTCGAGGCAAAAAAATATTTTTTGAAAATTCGAGGGCGAAATAATATCGTTTTTGATATCCGAAAATTAATATCGAAAATCGATATATCGGAAAAAAATATCGCCAATACATATCGATTATTTTCTTCTTGGCCCTTTGAAAGAAGCTACTGAAGAAATAAGTGGTGCCAATTATGTGACGGCAAGCTTAGCCATTCCTCTATTAAATTTAGTTTACCAAGTAACCGATCAATCAACTCCGTCGACCACATTAGGAATAAATGTAAAACAGGCTTTACTCAAAAAATTGAAGAGAAACTAGTTCCTCTAGAACGAAATACTTTTCTCTCAGTAGCTACAATTTTGGACCCTCGTTACAAGCGTATCCACTTTAATTCTCCAATTGCCGTATCAAATGCTATATCAAAAATAAGCGACGATATTCGCTCAGAATATAGGCGTAGAGGACAACGTTCTCCAGATGTAAGGTCTGACCGAGCAACATCAGAAGAAGCAAATGAGTCATCAATCAGGTGCAGGTATGAGCAGCTTTTTAAATCTGAGAACAGCTACGCAAGAGGTCCCAAGCTCAGGATCTGTCCCCAATGAACTTAAGCAATATCTGGACCAACCACTTCTTGAGAGGAAGTCAGATCCAATAAAGTTTTGGGTAAATTGTCGACATTTCACGCTGGTTCTTTCGGATATCGCTCTTAAATATTTAATATGTCAAGCTTCCTCGGTATCATCCGAAAGGGTTGCTTCGATTGTTAATTTAACAGTGCCGGATAATAGGAGCAGATTGACAGGTGAGTGTAACATTAAAGAAAGAGTGCTGCTGATGTCTATTTCAGACGAATACTGGTATCAGTGATGGTTAATTTTAAACAATATAAATGTGCGATTTACGAATAAACAAAATAATAA